CTGATTGATTGATTGCTTGTGCTAAGGACACAAAGATGATAAGAATAACACTCTCACACTCAATGACCTTCTCATGTATTCAGTGGATGAACTGTTTATGTAGAGAAACATATTCCAAGAAAATATGTGGTAGGATTGAAAGAGATTCAGAAAGTAAGACAGGAGAGGCAATGTTTGCCTAGGCAGAGCTGAACTTTCAGTCAAGAAGACCTGAGCTCAAATCCTGCCCTTGACACAAACTGGTTATGGGACCTCTGAATAAGTCACTTAATCTCTCAGTGTTCTAGGCCACTCTAAGACTATAATCTGCAGAATAGGTGCCACTTTGCACTGGTGGAGAGAGTTTCTTCATTAGGTTAGCAATGAAATCATGGGTCCAGTCCCTATCCAGATCAAATGAGATAATATTTGTAAAGCACTTAGCACAGTGCCTGGCACACAACAGGTGCTTAATAAATGTTGCTTTCCCCCATCTATACTTTCTTTATTCTCATCATGCTGTGCTGGGCACCCTCCTGCACTCTTCCATCTTCCACCTTTTCAGTTTCCTTTGGTGTATTGTCTTTCCCCACTAGATTTTAAGCTCCTTGAGAGCAGGGACCATCTTTCTTTTTCGTATTTTTATCCCCTGTGCTTAACTCAGTGCCTGGTACATGGTAGGTACTCAATAAATGGTTATTGTATCCTATTGTATCTACCAGGAGTTACAGAAGTTTTGCTGACCTGCATGGTGGAACGTTTCCATACCAAGTATTCCACTTACTGATGAAATCATAGGTCCAGATGGGAGGGAAAAAAAAGCATTATTGAAGCCTTAATACTATTGGGATATAGGTCTATTTGGACTGTTTTTCCATAATATGACTTGTAATGGTGGGAACTAGCTAAGATTTCAGAATGAAATAGGATCTCCCCTTCCCAATGGAATGCCAAAGATGAGTGAATTGGGACCTGCCAAGACTTTTAGTTTCCTTTCTGACAGTCTCTTGTTTTTTGTATTCCCCATAGCATCTATTAGGCACTCAATAAATATTTTCTGAATGAAGGAATGAGTGAATTTTGGCAACCAGAAAGGAACCTAAAGATCAAAAGAAATCCATTGGGATGAAAAAAATGTTATTTTAAGAAAGAAAAAGGGATACCTCTGGACATTCTAGAACCTAAAGGTTAACTCCAGGATTCAGAAAAACTGGAAGAAAATCACAATGATAATCAATCTGCAAGTATCTCCAAGAAAATAGGGGACAGTTGTAAAAAAGAGAATTTCTGGTCTAGGAGTGGAATCTCTTCTTAAGGTAAAGTAGCAAGCTTTTGAGGTGGAAGGGAAGCTACACATGGAGTCAGTTTTTGAGCACTGCAGTCCTTTCGCTCTGTCTTACATGAGAGATCTTTCAATTAATTCATAAAAAATGACATCTAATGCTGGGGAGGTCAGCAGCCTTATTAGCCCTGAATGATATGGATGGGACCGAGCAGTGCCAAGGGTGGCAGGTGGCAAGATTAAGGCTAAGGTGGAGGAAGAAGAAAAAAGAGAAAAGAAAAACAAAAAAAGAGCCCAAAGGTCAAAGAAGAAAGAAGGTGGGAGTGAGAAGGGAAAAGGAGAGAGAAAGAAAGAAAATGAAGATGGGTAGATACAGTAGAGTGTGGCAGAGAGCAATCATTAGTGCTTTCTTCATCACAGCTCAATCAATGCCTTTAATAGGCCTATTATTGAACTAGACCACTGGTTCTCAAACTTTTTGCTCTTAAGCCCCTTTAATAATTTGAATAATTGAGGACCCCCTAAAATTTTTGTTTATGTTGGCTATATCTATTGATATTCACTATATTAGAAATCAAAACATCTTTGTATTATTACAAAAAGTTGTGACTCTGTGGACTGCCTGAAAAGGTCTTGGGGACCCCCAAATGAGTCCATGGACCATGCTGACCAAGGCCACAGGGAATAAGGAGAAAAATGGGGATGAATGGATTCATGGAAGGGAAGCTTCAAGGCTGTTGGGATGGTATACCCAGAGAATGGGTACACAATATTACTATTAGCATCTGTAAGGATGAATCCTGAATTTGTGGAGATTTAGGATGTTCGTGAATGCTTTTCTTCATGGCATATCCACTCACTGAACCCAGGGTCTACATCTTACTTACCCTTAGTATCCATCCCAGAGCTCTGCACTTTTCCTTATACTTAATAATTGTTTATTGAATATTGAATTGGAAGGATAGTCATCAAGGTTGAAATTCCCATATGTTGGAACTTAAAGGGATCTCAGAGACCAGATCATCCAAACACTTAATTTTACAGATGAGGAAAGTGAGGCTTAGTCAGAGAGGGGCAATGAAGTGCTTGAGGTCCCATATTTAGTAAGTAGCAAAGTCAGGATTTGAACTCAGGTCCACTGACCTGTTCTATCCAAGGTTCTACTTCATCATGTGCTTAGTGGACCACAAACTGGAGAGGAGAATAGTAGGTACCAAAGATTAACAAATAGCACCAAATAAAATTATCTCAAGGCAAGTGTTTCATAACCAGGAATGCTAACAGGGATGTATAACTGAGATTTTATGACAGGGAGTGCTAATATTTGTATATGTATACGTGTGTGTTTGCAAACATGGTACACATGTAAATGTAAAATAAAGTTTGTTTACAGTAACATGCCTCTCTATGAATGTTCACAAGAGACTTAATGAAAAAGAGGTTTTCCTCTGCATTTAAGCCAGTCAAATGCATTTAGCCAGGCTACCATGATTCCAGCCAAGAACTATTGTATTCTGTTGTTGTTCAGTCATTTCAGTTGTGTTTGACCCTTCATGATCTTATTTGGAGTTTTTCTTGGCAAAAATACTGGAGTGGTTTGCCATTTCCTTCTCCAGCTCATTTTATAGGTGAGGAAACTGAGGCAAAGATAGTTAAGTAACTTGCCCAGGGTCACATAACTAGTAAGTGTCTGAGGCCATTTTTTAACTCAGGTGTTCCTGACCCAGTGTACTATCCACTATGCCAGCTAGCTGCTCCAACATATTATGAGGGTGGAACATTGTTTATATGTTCAGACTCGTTATGTGTTGGTTTATTTACTGGGCTGATTTTTTTCCCCTTTGAAACTATTTTTGTGTGTCAAGGAGAGCCATTGGAAAGAGGATTGGGTATATATTGAAATGAAGATGACATAAAACCAAAATATACTAATTTAAAAAAATGAGAGAGGGAATAGATCTCCCAAGGTCCTAAGATTCTATTGGTTTGGGATGCAGAAACTCTCTTTTTTTCTCATCATGGGATGAGACTGATGTTCTCAGATAAAGAAACACAGTATTTCTTTCTGAGCTGATTTCCCACTATTTGCCTTCATGTTGTCTGTATTATAACCAAATGAACCTAGCTACTTATCTTTCTCTGTACTCTCCCACCTCTATACATTTGCATGGGCCACACCCATGCTGGTTATTCCTTTCAGATTGCATCTCCTCCACATCTCCACCTACTGAAATCCTACCCTGCCTTCAGTGCCAAGGTCAGGTGTTGCCCCTTTCATGCTTCCCATTGGCTGAAAAGTGATCTTTCTTTTATCACCATTCTGTAAAGCACTTGGTCTGGATCTCTCCTCGGCCCCGCCCTACCTTTCAGTGAAGATTGTACATATAGCAAAAGCATCCCCTTATTATAAAAGATTGCAAGTTTGTTGGTGTCAAGCACTACTGCTTTTCATTTTTGTACCCCACCTCTAAGCACAAAGCAATTGCTTAAAAAATGTTGGTTGAAGTGATTTGTTGAGAGTGACATGCATGTGAAACGATGGACAGTGTGGGTATCCTATTCTCAAATGTAACTCACACATCTTTCCTTTCCATTAGCAAGTGAGAAGCTACAAACATACAAAGTGACATGGATTATCAGGCGCAATCATACTATTAGGAAGCTTTGCTGAACTGTTTTTGAGGCATATGCTTTGTAAGGGGTTGTGTTTGTTGGGAAGCGTATATTGTGTCAAAATAAAACATGTCAATTGATAAAGTGACAAAAACCAAAGGGTTAAAAATAGATGATCATCTCTTTGCACCTCGTACACAGGAAACTTATTTACTAAAATAAGTCACTCAATTTAATCAAGTAGCACAGTTTGCATTTCATTTAAAAACTACTCTTGACTCGTTGTTGGAGGGCCTAGACAAAAAGTCCATACACTCCATTTTTCTTGGAATGAAGATGCCTCATTTTTGCCATCGACTTTGCCTATTAAAAACTGACCACTAAGTCCAGGTGTTCTTAACGTTTTTAGTATCATGGAGCGTTTGTGCAGTCTGGCAAAGCCTATGGATCCCTTCTTAGAACAATGTTTTTAAACATATAAAATAAAATACATAGGATTGTAAAGGAAACTAATTATGTTGAAATAGTTATCAATTTTTATTTAAAACCACTGGTTCATGGACCCCCAAGTTAAGAACCTTTGGTCCAGTGATTAAAAAGTTCATGTGATCAGTCAACCAATCAATATCTATTAAACATCTACTACACACCCAAAATCATTTCTGGAATACCAGAAAAGAAAAAGACATTCTCTTTGCACTAAAGAAATTTATGATTAATCCTTAAGAAATTGAGCCCCAGATAAATATTTAATTATTCTTCTACTACCTCTTGGGTCCATTTGTCCAGAAGTAGTACCTCATAATGTATCTCTCAAGTAGACCTCATTGCTTTATTCACAGTAAGGATATCATGGTCTTTGGAGAACTCCCCTGCCATCTACTCCCTGCCCCTCAGCCCTCAGGGTTGTCTGCGTCCTTAAAAAATGGCCAGGCTGAGAAATCATGTCAGTTAGATCTAAGGTCCCCATCTACTATTTCCCACTCTACAGAAAAGCAACATTGATTTTCCCATGATTCCAATGTGCATTTGCCTGGTATTATACTCTTTTCAATGTTCATGGTACCACCTCTTATATGGTATGGCACAGAACAATATTTTTTCTTTGCGCAAAGTTGACACCCACCTGATTTGAAGCCATGTCAGCATTGGTGTGGTTCCTCCCCCAAATATCCAGACTGTGAAGAAGACGATAAGTAGAGTGGTTGTGAACATCATTTGTTTGGGCTCAGATTCGGTGTCCCGAATAGCTAAGGCAAATGCTATTGCTCCCCGTAGACCTTCAAAGGAAAAAAGTCAGACGAGAGAACTCTATCAGTCCATTGTCATCTCACTTTTTGGGGATGACTTCCATGTTGCAATCTACAAGCCAAAAACCTGTGCAATAAAACAGCAAAGATTTCTGCCCACATAACATGCTATGTGTCTGGATAGCTGAACTTTTTAATTTTTAAAAATGGCATTTAAAAGTACTCCATCAGTGGGTACACATCAGGTGGTCAATCCTCTGAATATATTTTTGCACCTTTGAGAATTTAACTTGCTAAATGGAACATGCACCTGTGCATTCAAGTCACCATAATGAATTATGTTCCATACTGTTATTTTAAAGAACTATCTTTTTAAGACTTCAAATAAAAGTGACTTCTGGTACTATAACAAGAGGTAACATTTATATAGCACTTTACTATGTGTAGGACAGGGAGTAGCTAGATGGGCACAGTGGATAGAGCGCTGGCCTGGAGTCAGGAAGACTCTTATTCCTGAGTTTAAATCTGGCCTTACTAGTCACGTGACCCTGGGCAAGTCACTTAATCCTCTTTGCCTCAGTTCCTTTTCTGTAAAGTGGGGACACACCAGAGAAGGAAACAGCAAACCACCCCAATATCTTAACCCCAGTTGTTCATGACTGAATGCCAAAAATGTGCAAGGCACTCTGTTAAGTGTTTTACAATTATCATCTCATTTGATGCATTAATGAAAATGAAAATTCATGCTCTGAGACCAGACCAGGCTTGTAGTTATGATAGTGTCTTTCCTTTCTCCTGTTTTCTCCGAGCAGAAAGGTGACTTTGGCTTTAAGTTCCATTATAATCTTCTACACTTTGCTTAAATATGTTGGAAATTACTTGATATTGCTTGAAAATTACATGACCATTAATGATAATATTTGTCCAAGCTTTTATTGTGCATGGGGAGAGATTGAGAGAGGAGGAGTTGGCCTGTGGGAAAAGAGATTTCCTGGTCTTATTCTGGGGCAGAAGACAAATGGATTGGAGAGAGGATTTTCACACTTCTGGTAATTTTTGAGAATATCCCAGAACACCAGACCGACTTCCTTTGAACCTGAGGAGAGAACATTTCTAAGAATATGAGCCAGAGGGCTAGGGACTGGTGTGATTGTCCCTGAGAGCACCTGAGAGGCACTACTCACACCCTGAATCAGACTTAACAGTGCTGACAGTATTTTCCTTGTACTTACTGCCTTCTCTCTGTATCAATTCATACAAATCTTCGATGTGTCTCTGAGTTTCTCGTATTGGTCATGATATTTCCTTACATTCTTTAAGTGACTTGCCTAGTGTCACACAGCTAGTAAGTGTTATGTGTCTGAGGCTGGGTTTGATTTCAGGTCCTCCTGAATCCAGGGCCGGTACTCTATCCACTGCACCACCTAGGTGCCCATATTTCCTTACGTTTTTGTGGTATAACTATTTGTCAATCCTCCAGCCAATGGACACCTACTTTTTTTTCTAATGATTTTTTCTTTTCTTACCACAAAAATTTCTGCTGAAAATATTATTGTATATATGAAACTTTTCTATTTGTTTGACCTTTTGGGGACTATATCCATTAATGAGATTGCTGAGTCTAAGAAACTGAACAGTTCTGTGACTTTTCTAGAAAAATTATTGAACCAATTCACAGTATAGAAAACAATCCAGAGGGTTAGAAAAGTGACGTACAATTTATTTAACTGGAAAGAAGCAAAGCTTCCAGAATTTGCTTCAACAGTCTGTTTGTATGCCTGTCTTTGCACAGTCCCCTCAAAATGGATTATTTCTGTTAGTTTATCATCTTTGTCATGATTTTGTTTAGTTGTTCATGTTGTTATGTTGTGTCTGACTCTCCATGATCCCATTTGAGGATTTTTTGGCAAAGATACTGGAGTGATTTGCCATTGCCTTCTCCAGCTCATTTTACAGATGAGGAAACTGAGGAAATAGGGTTAAGTGATTAACCTAGGGGCACACAGCTAGTGAATGTGTGAGGCTGGATTTAAACTAATGTCTTCCTGACTCCAGGACTGAAGCATTATCTACTACACCACCAAGTTGCCCCCACCTCTGTCATATCCTCATCTATAAAGATTAGGAAACTTGAGATTCAGAGAAATTATTTACAAATAAAAGTATACCGCGACAGAAAAATGAAGCAAACAAATATTAGGCTACTTTTGAATGCCCTGGTTTTAACATAAGGTACTTGAATCCCATGTGTACTAGAATTTGGTTAGTTCACTTGCGATATGTAGGGTAAATCATTCATCTCAAGAGTAAGCTGTGAAAGTTAGGCCTGTAAGTATCCTTTTCTTCGTTATTTTGTTTGAAGTATTTCACAAATGTACATGCACCAAATAAAAATGAGAGATAATATAAGAGTTCTGGAATAAAAAAGAATCAATATTTTTTTGCCACATTTAGAGAATACAAGAGGCTCATTTCTCTTTAGTGAGAATTATGTAAATGAAGAGAAAGATTCAGAGGGTTAAACAAGTGATATCTAATGTAATTTGCTGGGGGAGAAAGCTCCCAATGGAAGGAGGACCATGACCCCTATTTACAAATTACCTCCAAGGAAAAATGAAAGAAGGAAATTATTCTCAGTCTTCTTAGCTGAAAGGAAACAGAAATGGCTTGAAGATATGGAAGGCAAAATTTGGACTCATTATTAATCAAAAATTCTTATCTATCAGAGTTCCTGGATATTTGAGATCACAATGAGGGTATTCCATCACCAGAAATAAACACATCAGATAACATCACCAATGCCTCAGAGTTCCAAGGTACATTTCATCAAAGGGTCTTGCAAAATATTAATTTATTCTTACAGTTCTCTTTGAGGAAAGCAAGTGGCATCATTAACAGATGGAGTGTTTGGGAGTATATTCCAGGCATGATTGAGAGGCATGGAAATGGGAGAGGGATTGATATATGAGGAATGATAAACAGCTCAGTTTAGCCAGCATGGAAGAGATTTTTTTTTTCCATTGGATGGCGCTTGTGATTTCATCAGTATAAAAAACTCCTGACAAGGAAAGTCCCTCTATCAATGCAGATCGACACCAATTCTGTAAGTTATAGTTTTAGAGTTGCCCCTGAGGAGATTAATATTTAATAAGTTTGGGAAAATCTGTAGGATTTAGGTTGTAAAAGGCTTTATGAGTCAAACAGAAGGGTTCGTGTTTTATCCTGGAGGCAAGTGGGAGCCATTGAAGCATCTTAGACAGGGCAGTGAAATGTTTAGACCTGAGCTTTAAGGATATATCACTTCAGCAGCTTTGGAAGATGGATTGGAGTAGGAAGAAAAAGGCCTCAACACAGCGCTATGATCTGAGAAGAGGAGATCACAAGCTAGCCCTCCATCTCTCTTTCAAGGACTGCAGTTAATCTGGCAATCCTCCATAATAGGAATATTAGGAGATGTGGCAGTTAATATTTATATTTTGCTTTGGGATTCTGGATGTTTAAGGGAAGGTAGAAATAGAATAATGTTGCTACCACTGAATGAAACGCACAGTTATTTGATGTTTAAGATGAGCTCATATTAGAGCTCTCAATGGATAGCAAGTATGTAAATGTTAATCTTCCTAAAACATTCTCAATAATGTATCATTATTATTATATTAATCTAGCCTTAATAGTCCTCTTACATCTAAATTAGCTGTGCTTCAGCAGGCCATAATTTAAAGAACATGCTAAAAAGAATACTTGTTCTGATTTCTAACATTACACCTTTGTTCTCCCGTTTGCAGGGGATCCCCGAAAATATGAATTCTCCAAATACTGTACCATACACGAGAAGAGGAGTAATGTTCTTAATTAAAGCCCAAACTACAAGGTGTTAAAAATCCATTAGCATCTTCTGTAAGCTCATTACTGATGTAATTAGAAGAACAAAAAAAAAAGGCCAAAGAAATAGGGGAGCCTTGGAAAGAAACGGAGGCTGAGTTTCTACCGCTGCTTTTCTGCAGAATTGGCTGTGTGGTTTGGTGCTGAAAACTGCGAATATTCAAAATTGACCTGTGAAACTGTGAATCTCCAGGGTTTGCTGTAAAAGTCTGAGTTCATTTAGAATTCTGGAAAAGATGCAATACTATTTCTTCCTGTCCTTGGCATCCTCCATTATGTCAAGGCTACTGACAAAACACTGGGAGCCTGAACAAATGAGAAATTCCTGCCCATCCGTGTACTTTCATCCAGTTCTGTTAATACTAGAATCCTAGACTGAAAGTCAGTTAGATAAGGCTCACAACCAAAACCTAAGCAGGATTTGGAGCCAGGAGATTTTAGATTGCAATAAGTGATTTAGGCCATCAAAAAGACAGTTAGAAAAGAGAGGGTATAGTGCAACAGAGAGAAACCTGTTTGCAAGTCCTCAATACAACACTAACCAGCTATGTGACCTTAGGTAAATCATTGCCTCTTTCAGCCTTTGTTTTTGTCTCTCTCTGTATCCCCAATGCGGCACTAGATGGTGCAGTGGATAGAACATTGGGTTTAGAATCAGAAAGACTCATCTCCCTGAGTTCAAATCCCACCTCAGACATTTACTAGCTGTGTGACCCTGGGGCGAGTCACTTAACTCTGTTTGCCTCAGTTTCTTCATCTGTAAAATGAGCTGGAGAAGACGCCTGGACAGAGATAGTGGAAGACAGAAGGGCCTGGTGTGCTATGGCCTATGGGGTCACAAAGAGTCAGACACAACTGAACAACAACAGTATCCTCAATGCTTGGGAGAATGCCTAGCATGTGGTGGGTGCTTAATTGTTGAACTGATGACTATAAAATGGTGATGATGATAATAATTGCAAAATTTGCCTCACAGGGCTGTTAGGTGTTTCACAAATTGCTGTATAGAAATGGGAATTATTATTAAAAATTCTCAGGAAACACTGACTTGGTCTTTTGGAATTGGAAAGCACCTTCTAGATCAACTTTTATTCTCCTTCCTTTTTCTGGGTTTGTTTCCCTAGCTCCCTCATCTTCTAAATGAGTTT